CCCCCCCCCCCCCCCCCCCCCCCGTCCCAATACACAAGACAGCAGGAAGCCCAGCACCAAGGGAGGAGGCTGGGCTCCCGGCGCCACATTTCCACATTTCGCTGCACGCGGGTCTGCCCGCTCTGGGCCTCCCCACCACCGGTCTCCAAGTTGCCGGGCCTCTGGCCCGGCTTTGGCAGCGCCAGCGGCCTCAGGCACAGGGCGGACCACGTTCTCTTTATTAATTGCTGTTAATTGTTGGGGCAGCTGAGGCCCGCCCTGCTTAATCTCTCCCCGCCACCCCACCTTTCCTGCTCGGCTCCAGGGCCCAGCATTCCCGGGGAATGGGGGAAGGGGACAAGGTGCCCACGCTCACCTCGTGGGAGAAGGAGATGAGAAAAAAAGGCAAGGGCTGTGTGCGAGGGGCCTGTCTGCCTCAGGCCAAGCTGGCCAGGGGCGTGGGAGCTGTCTCGGGCCTACAGCTGGTGGAGGGGCCCAGCCAGTGTGACCTCCTGAGGGGAGTGCCCAAGAACCGCTGGGGGTGGGGTGTGTGGGTCTAGGGTCTGACAGGGTTGGGGAGGGAGCGGGGCAGTGGGGGCAGGTGCCGGGACTCCTGGTCGCTAATGTTCTCGTGGGAGGCCCTCAAAGGTATCACCAGGCACGGACCAGCCGCTTCCCAGGGCCCCCTCCCAGGTCCTGCTGGGCGCTCACCGGTAGCGCTTGTCGTCCACTGGAACGAAGTCCATGAGGAGCATGTAGTCGGCCATGGGGTCCATGCCGAAGAGCTTCACTTGAAACGTGGGGAACATGCGCCTGGGGGCGGTGGGGCCTCTGGTCACCTCAGGTGAGGGAAGGCAGGGCTGCCCCACCTTGACCAACCCTGGATGGGTAGGCTTCCTGCTGGCTCCTGCGTTCAGCGGCCTGGCCCCTCCACCTCCTCTCCTCTCCCTCGGCCACTCTAACCCAACAAGGCCCCTGCCCCGCCAAGGGCAAGTGGGGTGGCAGGGCAGTCCCCTGCCCCCCTTTTTGAAACCCCAAAATGGCTCACTAAGCACTAGAGCTGAGCCTCTGCATCCCAGTGTAGTCGATGGCTTCTCCTGCCACAATTGCCCGCACAGAGCCAGCCTAGCTAGGCTTTGCTAATTCTCGGCTGTCCAGTGCAGAGCTAGTCAGCCGGCAGCACCCGATCGGCAAGACTCCCCAGACGCGGTCCCAGAGATTCTCAGCCCTCCACTGAGCCTCCCCCAGCTCTCTCTGAGCGACGGATGTAAACTCCCGGCTCGAACAAAGTGAAACCAGGCCACCCTGCGTGGTTCCCAGGAGTCCCAGTTGCCCTTTCAGCTGGGTCCGAGGCTGCTCCCCAATCCCTGCAGCGACGCTGAGGCCTCAGAGCCCACAGCCCCGACTCTCAGGCCCTGTCTCCGGCCCAATGGTGGAGTCTTCCCCACCTTCCTCAGGGACACACACAAGTTCCCACCCACCACCATAACCCCCCCCCCCCCCCCCCCGGATTCAGCTACTCTGGAAGAACTTGGCTTGTGCCCTCATGGTCAGCGAACTCTCCCCTCCCCTGGATTCTGACTCTATGACCCATCCAGTCACTTGAAAGGACATTCTGCAGCTCCTGGAGGAGCGGCTGGCCATGGGCCGGCCCTGTCCTGACGGCACAGCAGTGCCAGCCACTGGGCCCTGGAGGACAGCATGAGGCTTCGCTCCCACCTGCCCGCCCTATGGCTTCCCCTCATAGGCAACTCCGTGCAGGCAGTGGGCAGAAAACAGATGCCATGGAGCTGGGCCTCCTGATCAGGCCTGCCACCCCCACCTCTGCAGGCTGGTGGGTGCTACAGAATGCTGGCTTCTGGGATGAAGCCTGGCCCCGGCCAAGGCCGTTGCTGGGCTGGGCTGGGCCAGAGGCTGGGGTGCTGTCCTCAGGGGACAGTAAGGAGAGGCTACAGAAGACCCACAGAGCTGAAGCTGAGCACAGGCCCCAGGATCCCCAGGGAGGACAGCCGTGGCAGGGAAACAGAAACCGCGAGAAGGCTCTGCAAACAGGCCCTGAGCTCCCCTTGGCTGTGTGGTTGAAGAGCTGGTGTCTCCGTGTGTACATTAGACACAGCCCGGCACCCGCCTTTGTCTGCTGGTCAAATCGGTTGCTTCGCAAAACTTGTTCCCCTTCTCTCTGGGCCCTTAAAACAAATACAGGCCAATTGGAAGGCGGCGGGCCTCAGCAGCAGAGCCAGGCCCCACAATCACCTGAAATTTAGGCCCGAGGAAACCGGGGAGCAACTTCCACGGAAGAGACCATACTGTTTTTAAGGGTCTTAACTTTCTCCTAAAATTTTCCAGAGAATTGTCCAGCTGCCCGTCTCTATCTAACCCGTATAGACTGAACTGGGGAACTAAAGACGTGAATTTCCTTTGAGGTGGGATCCACTGGAAGCCGGCTGGTTGGCGAGGCCGCTCAGGGGCAGCTGCCTAACCCCTAGCCCGGTGTGCTCCGAGCCGGCCCGGGCTTCCAGCGGCGAGCACGGTGGGGCTGCGGGAGGGGCGAGCTGGTCCGCCGGGCTTCTCTCCACCGGCCTTCCGAAGCTGCCCGCGCCGTCCCCGAGGCCCGCCCGGCGCGCCAGGCGGCTGTCGCTGGAGCCGGGACCGCAGAGAACCCAGAGCCGGCCCGCGCCTAGAGGGTCCGCAGGTGGCGGGGCCGCGCCCCCACCCCGCTTCTCGGTCCCACTCGCGTGGATCGGGCCGAGGCGCGCTGCCCGAGACCGGGGCCACGTGGGGAGGGTCGCGGGCAGTGAGGGGGGCACCCTGACC